CCCCTTCCTTCCATGTGACCTATGCCCATTCCACCTAATGTTTGCTCATCCCTCCACCCCAATTCCCACAGCCTCTCAGCCCACCTGCCCTCTGTGCTCCCTGCCCTCCATGGCTCTCACCACCTTCCTTCTGAAGTCTGCCCCCAATCCTTGTCCTGCCCTAGGAATTTGACCCCCAGCAGGAGCGAGACTTTTACAGGACACTCTCCTTGTTGAAGAAGAAGGATCCCCGCATTTACCAGGAAGATGCCACCTTCTACCAGAGGACAGGTCTGGGGCTGCTCTTCTCCAAGGTTCCTCGTGGCCTTATCGTCTGTTGTGACTATTTATTGAATCATTTTATGTCAAAAGTGCTTAGCAGAGTGTCTTAGGTTATAACCTGTTGATGTTAATATCAACCGTGTGCTTTGTGCTATTCAGAGCGGGAGTTACTGAGTGATCACCGCCAGGTACTGCCAGGTGGTAGCCAGTATAACTGTTGTATAGCTGGGGACTGGTGGTTGGGGATTTGAGGCCTTCATCTAACCCTGACCCTGACCCTGGCCCAGCCCAGTGGCATTCTCTGTCTGGGGAAGGAAGGGAGTTGTGGTTGTGGAAAATGGCAGGTGTCTTCCGATAACTCCGCAGCAACGTCCTCGGAAAGCGAGGAGGAGCTGGCAGCTGAGAAGCAAAAGAAGATGCGGCCCATGTACCTGAAGGACTATGAGAGGAAGGTTATCTTGGAGAAAGAAGGGTGAGGACAGGGCTGGGCACATACCATCCTCTGCCCCGCCTTCCCAGAGCAGGTGGATGCATGGGGGTCTTAGGGGCAGGGGTGGGAAGAAGCCAGTGACTCACCAGAGTTGAAGGAATGCCAGAGAGCATGCTCCTCTGTGATGGCCTGCACCCCTGTCGGCTCCCCCACCTGCTTCTCATAACGGCCCCCACCCACTGGGACCGGCAGACCGTGGGGAGTCTATTTTGAAGCCCGAATCCTTCCTTGCACAGCAAATATGTTGACGAGGAGAATTCAGACGGGGAGACCTCCAATCAGAGACTCCAGGTGGGTGGGGTGGAGACCGGGTTGGGGCTGAGGGATCCGGGGCTGGGCCTGAGGCCCACGGCTCCCTCTCTTTAGCAGGTCTCGTCGAAAAGTTACGTGGAAGAACAGGAACAGCTCAAGGAAAGGTGAGTTGGGCCAGCGAGTGGCCAAATGGATAGGAGACGAGGCTCTGGGTGTAGATAGGTCTGGGCTCCAGTCCAGCTCTGTCACTAATGGCTGTGTGCCCTTAGGCACATACTTGCTCTCTCCATGCCTGTTTCCTGAAGTTAAATGGGGTTGATAATGCTATGTCTCAGCACCACTCTGAGCTTGTTAGGAAGAACTCCGGCTGGTGAACAGGGTTCGGGGCTAGCCTGGCTGCTCTGAGACTTGTTCTTTCGGTGGGCAGCTTCCGAGCATTTGTGGAGGACAGTGAAGATGAGGATAGCGCCGGGGAAGGTGGCTCCGGGTTGCTGCAGAAACGCGCTAAAACCAAGGAGGAGAAGGTGGGTGCTGGGGCCCTCGCTGGACTGGGGCTGGTGGCAGGGAGAGGCGCTGGGGCTCCAGCAGACCCTCAGTGCCAGCCTTCCCCCAGGCCCAGGAAGATGCTGACTACATTGAATGGCTGAAGGGGCAGAGGGAGATTGAGAACCCTGAGGCCCTGAGAGAACTGGTGAGTTTCCACACAGTCGCTGAAGGACTACACTGCTTATCCCACCTCCATCCAACCTTTTTCTAGAAAGTAACCCTCGAAGGGGTAGCTAAGAGCATATACTCTGAAAATGGGTGTGCCCCTCTCTGGGCCTCAGTTTCTACATCTATGAAATGGGAATAATGCCCCCCACCTATTTCATAGGCTGGCTGTGAAGTTTCAGTTACTTGAATCCATTTGATGCCCATGTCTGCCCTCCTTCCCTGCCTCTGAGTGTCTAACCTGGGTCCTGTCACCCCTTCACTCCTAGACTCACCTCAAGGAATATTGGAATAACCCAGAGCTGGACGAAGGGGAGCAGTTCCTGCGGGATTATATCCTCAACAAACGTTATGAGGAAGAGGGAGATGAGGAGGAGGAGGAGGAAGAGGAGGAGGAGGAAGGGTGAGCAGCCATGTTCTCACCAGGGGCCTGGAGCCAATGCTGGCTGAAAAGCAAAGGGCATTTACTTTTGCACACACATCGTAGCAGAGTTAGTCGTTCGAGGAAGAGCCATGGAGTGTGGGCTCTGGAGCCAGGTGTTCAAATCCTGATCCTGTGCCTTGGTTTGCCCATCCTTACAGTTGGGGCAACAGTGGCACCCTACTGTAGGGTTCTTGGACGATGGAATGTGTTAACAGGGCGGGTACACAGGAGCTCGGCTGACCCCAGCCTCCCTCTATCTTGCCCCTCAGGGTCCCAGGCCCCCCGGTCCAGCTCTCCATAGACGACTCCTCGGATGAGGGGGAGCTGTTTCTGAAGAAGCAGGAGGACTTCGAGCACAAGTACAATTTCCGCTTTGAGGAGCCCGACTCGGCTGTGGTGGGTAGAGCTAGGGCTTGGGAGGCGCTGGCTCGTTGGGCTCAGGCCCGGAGAGCCCAGAATCATCCCTGTCCCACAGGTCAAGACCTACCCTCGGAGCATTGCGTCCTCTGTGCGCCGCAAGGACGAGCGAAGGAAGGAGAAAAGGGAGGAGATTAGGGAGCGGAAGAGGAGGGTGAGTGTGAGGGGGCGGTGGGTTCAGGAGAGCCCTTAGCTGTGGGGAGAGCCCATACCCTCCCTCTCCCTCTTGCCTGCCACCCGCAGGAGAAAGCGAAAAAGCAGGAAGAACTCAAGCAGCTGAAGAACCTGAAGAGGAAGGAGATTCTGGCCAAGCTGGAGAAGCTGCGGCAGGTCACGGGCAACGAGACGGTGGGCTTTGAGGAGCAGGACCTGGAGGACGACTTCGACCCCACCCGGCATGACCAGCTCATGCAGGTATGGCCCCCACACCCCGGCCTGGCCATGCAGCCCGTGCTCAGGAGCATGGCTCTGGAATCCGTGGTTTCCTGGTTGTGGGGCTAAGAGAAGTGGTTTGAGCTCGCTGAGCCTTTGTCCTTGTCTGTAAAGTGGGTCTAGCCATAGCTTCTACCTCAGAGCTGTTGTAAGGATAGCTTGAGAGGAATACACATAAAAGTTTAGTTGGTAAGTGCTCAAGGAACAGTGGGTTGCTGTGTTTCTTTTAAACTCATTTATTGTGCCATTAATGTTTATTGTTGTATTTGTGGGAATATAACATCAGGCCATAGAAACAGGTGATGAAGGCATGTGAGGAGCAGTGGGGACCACAGGAGCCTCAGAGAAGCCTCTGACCAAGCCTGGGGAGCGAGGGAAGGGGAATGAGGATATGTAGGTAGGCCAGGTGAAAACCAGAATGGGGGCGGGAAGCGGGGGGGCTATATAGTTGGGAGTTTAAGCTTCAGTTTCTCCATAAATGGGGATACTGTCTGTCTCCTGGTGCTTGTGCAAATGTGAG